ATTCTGGGTGAAAGAGCTGTGAGTGAAAATAATATGAATTGATTAAACTGCTTTTTTTCTTTTCTTCTTTTTAGGAGAAGTGGAACATCTTGCCAAAGAGCCAAACTCATTCCTTTTGGGGCAGCTTAATTGCACAAGCTTTATGCTAATTACTGTTGTACAGATTTGGCAGCTTTACAAAAATTTTAAACTTGTATGTGCAAGTTCAAAAAATCTATTTCAATGGCTCAGAGTTAGGCTATGAAGGCGTTTCAGACAATGCCAACTGTAGTAATGCTTGCTTTTTTTTTTTTAACCTGTGAGTAGCTTATAATTTACAGTTTCATAGGAATTTGCTTAACAAATGTGGACGTGGTTAGTTGTCTGCCTTCCAAAACCCAAACCTATATTTCTTCATATCCTAGGATGTTGTCTGTCAGATGACAAGTTTTTTCAGAAACCCAAGAAGGCCATCTTTGGGGTGGGTATTGTCCCTGTACTTCATGAATTCTACTCACAGCAGGCCTTCAGCAATATAGAGGCTCTGTTTTCAATATCCAGAATTCATGAAAGGGCAAAGATTCACAAGTCATGACAGAGCATAAAGAAGGGAGTAAACAACACAATGGAGATAGACTAAGTCTTTATTTCCATGTGCCAAGGAGGGTTGGGAGAGAATTATTTAAGTAATAACCCTTCTCTTTTTTGGGGGGAGTGGGAGTACCAGGGATTGTACTCAGGGGCACTCAACCACTGAGCCACATCCGCAGCCTTATTTTGTATTTTATTTAGAAGACAGGGTCTCACTGAGTTGCTTGGTGCCTCGCTTTTACTGAGGCTGGCTTTGAACTTGGGATTCTCCTGTCTCGGCCTGCCAAGCTGCTGGGATTACAGGTATAAGTAACCCTTCTTTATTTAAAAAAAAAGAAAGTTAAAACAAGATTGAGGGGCTGGGGATGTGGCTCAAGCGGTAGCGCGCTCCCCTGGCATGCGTGCGGCCCGGGTTCGATCCTCAGCACCACATACAAACAAAGATGTTGTGCCTGCCGAAAACTAAAAAATAAATATTAAAAAATTCTCTCTCTCTCTCTCTCTTTAAAAAAAAAAAACAAGATTGAAAGTGGCTTAAAGAAAGGACAGTTTAACTCAGAGTTAGGTACTTACATCAAGTTAAAAAAAACTGAGATGATGAACCCACATCATCTTGATAGGTGGTAGGCTAATACTAGACTGGCACATAAGGAGAAATTTGGGGAGGAAGGAAAATTCTGAAGAATTTGAGTTAGAGGTTTATTTTGTTGAAGGAAAAGTATCATCAGTCTTAATCTTGTGCTGACAAAGTTTAAATAGTTGGGTAAAGTCTTGCAGCACCATATCAGAGTACAGGGAGTTGTATTCTATACTTCTTTTCCAACATTATATAATGTTGGTAGAAATGATGGTAGAAATGTAAGACATTTTACGTTGCCTTTGGAAGTGGCAAACTATGTTTTCTCCTGATTGGTGGGATGGTGGGAAAGGGGTTAAAATCAATCTAGCTCTCAGAGCTGAATCAGACCAGAAAATTTCTTGTTAGGCTAAAGTGACACATTTGCTGTACCATTATACTTATAGAAATTTGCCAAGAAGTTTTCCAAGACTGGAAATGAAATTACCAATAGTATCCTAAAACCTGGTAGAATGCTCTCTTAACTCCTTATTTTCCTGGCATTATAAGAAAATCTTGCTTCTCCAACTTAAAAAACAAACAAACAAACAAACAAACAAAAACCCACTAAGAAAAAACCTTTTATACCCTCAGGACTGAAACAGTAATGAGAGAAGAGAGTAGAATACTGAGTTGGTATGTTTACCGGAACTTCAAACAGATTTCAATGCTGTGAAATTATCATGGGGGTTGTTATCAAACTTCAAGGTGGTTAAAGATGATTACAAGACAAGTTCTGTTGCTGAAGGATTTGCTGACATCTAATGCCTTTCTTTCTTCAAATGAATGCAAGGATGACATTTCTGAGTTAACAAAGGATCTGAGAAGGATGTGGCCCTGAGCAATACTTTTATACTCATTAGCTTTTTTCTATGTGCCTATGCCACTATCCCCCCACCTAGGCACCCACACAGCCTACCTCCTCTCTCACCATTATTAATCTAACCTGAATGACTCTCTTCTTCTCCAAGTGAACACACCCAGTAACAGCAGTGAATCATAGACACTTTTGCTTCTCTAGTCTCCAATGGACTTGACAAAAAGCCAGATCTGGTAGAATAAAAAGAATAGGAACTTTACTGAGGCGAGCTCTTTAGGTTTTTGTTCTTTATGTTATCCTGAATATTAGTTATTAGATAAATGTTCTGGATGCCTGATCATGGAAAGATTTTTATCACACTAACAATATTGAGCCTCCCCCCATGTCCGTGTTCTAAGTAACCACTCTATTCAGTAAGGCAATCTCTGAGGCTTGCCTAAGAACTAAATCTAGAGCTCCTTCATTTTGGGATTGCTTCAATCCCAAGTTAAGCAAGACTCCTTTCTCGCTTAACTTGGCAAAAAATTTAATCAGTTAACTCACAAAGATCACCATTTGGTAACTAAGTCTTCAATAGTCTCTACAAGTGAGGCAATTACACTTTTGGAATCCTAGAAGAGATTTTTAGGTAACAGAGGAAGAAATTATTTGTTATTCTCAAAGAGACATCTATGAAATGACAGACCACTAAAACACCTCTGTTCCATGCATAGGTCTGTAAGTACATTTGGAATTCACAGGAAGAGAAAACTACAGAAGAATTTTTGAAGATGATTTTCAAGAAAAAGAAAATGTCATAACTAATATTTAAAGTCAGTTAAGGGGGACTGGGTTGTGGCTCTGTGGTAGAGCACTTGCCTAGTTAAGTGTGAGACACTGGGTTCTATCCTTAGCACCACATAAAAATAAATAAATATAGGTATTGTATCCATCTACAACTAAAAATTTTTTTTTTTTTTTTAAAAAGCCAGTTAAGGAAATTTAGCAGATTTTCCTCTGTAACGAATCTGAATTCAGTTTCTTTAATTCATCCTCACAGACATTATAAATCAACTTAATCATATGAATTTTGCACAATTCCTCACTCAAATGGATTTTTAAAAATAAAATGGTCTTAAAAATTGATAGTCTTAAAAAATTCCTACAGATCCTAGCTATGTCTACAAGACACCTTTTTTTTGTCAATATAAGAAGTCTGTGGAATAGATTTATATCATCCTGAGATTATTAAGATTTAAAAACTAATGCTAAACCTGAGAAATTTAAAAAAAAAGAATTCTACTAAAATGAAAACTTAAATTGTGGACAAAAAGTACATTTGTGTGTGTGTGTGTGTGTGTGTGTGTGTGTATGCTTGAGGGGGAGGAGAGAAAGAGAAGACTATTCACTATTGTTTTCTTGTCATTAAAAAAGAATAATAAAATAAACTCATAAAGATTTTTAGGTCTATGTCATCATCGCACCAACAGTAATCATAGACAAGAATGGAAGAAGCATTTTACCACTCCCTGGTGAATAACAAAAGGGCCAACAGTAGCCTAGGGTATTGAAGAAATTTAAAAACATGCAGAAAGTCTGACTTAGGTTGCTATTAATCACAATTAATTATCTTTTAATTCTAGTGCTTAAATTGTTCTCTATGGCAGGGTATGGAGTCTTTGCTTTCTGGCTCAATTGGGCAGTGTTCTTTCCTACTTGAAAAGTTCCATTTGAAACATACAACATCCTGCATCAGATATACCAAACTCTTCACAGTCAAATAGATTTCCGGTCACTAAAGTCACAGAGACGTTGGTTAGGCTTTATCTAAAGGTACATGAAAGCTACAGGGGCTGTCTAAAATCCATTTATTTTACACTAAGTTGAGAGTGGAAAGTGGATTTCCAATTTTGTATGTAACAAGAGTAATACAAATTCAGTAAAGGGGAGTTCATTTTTTTTTCCTAACAACATGTACAAGTCAGAGATGGGCGTCAACAAATGCACATTTCTGAATTCAGATTTTTCTGAGGACTCATTCTGAAGCTTTGAAACTCGGGCCAAACAATCTTGTTTTAATATACCAATTCATATAAAAAACAAGTCAGAACATTTGCAAGGCAAGATGTTGTTTTTCTTTATGCAGCCAGCAAAAACACAGCTCTAGGTTGTAACTATAAAAGGATTTGGGAGCAGCTGATTTTAAGGACTCATAAAAACAACTCACCCTTATGCCCCTAGGTGTAAAGAATATGCGGAGTCTGCATTGTGCTTCTATTGTCAGGACAAATCATTCTGCTTTATTCAACGAGATGAACGCATGCCAGGGGATAAGTAAAGGAAAAAAAAATGTACATATTGAGATCTGTGGGGAACGTGGCTTCACACTAGTTAGCCAAATCCGAGATTTAGAATCAATCACAGCACCTTTTTTTTTCTTTTTTAGCGCCCTCCGCCCCCTCCCCCCGGCCGTTTTTTTTTTTTTTTTTTTTTTTTTTTTTTGGCGGGGGAAAGAGAAGAGAAAGAGTGAAAGTTTGCGTGATCCATTCCTTTAAATCAGGGACCGGTGAATAAACTTGACTGTTAGTGGCCTCTCACGAATTCTCTTTGCCCAGGGGGAAATAACGGTTACTACATAACAAAGGAGACAAAATGAGGAGCCTCGGCTTGGACCTACACAGTCCAACGCCGACATTTACGCTCCAAATCAGTGCATTACGTTTTCTTCGGGTCCTGTATTTACACCTGACCGCTCAGGACTCCAGTTACTTCCTTCTGGCTGCTTCTAAGCCATTATTATCAGACCTAGTAGAATATAAAGACTCAAAATGGCCACTCGCTAAGACCGAAAACACTGGCTCCTTATAATTCCCAACTTCCCCATGACTCAGAAGCTACATAGCGGCCTTTTCCTCAGCCCAGCGCTCCACCCAAGTTCGCTCTCTTGGCAGTTGCGTGGCAACAGCACGTCGCAACACCGGAAACTGCGTTTTCCAGCCAAGAGCGCAGCCAACCAGGGCTCAGCAAGGGCCGTGCGCACCCCCAGCGTCCTCCTTCTGGACCCACCCAATCGTCCTCAGCGCTCATTCTCCTTCCGGTACTGCGCCAGGGCAAGTTCCGTTGTCTTCATTTTAGCTCGCATTTGGCTAACTGGTAGGAAGCAACGTTCTAAGGGGTGTGAGTTTTGAGGTGGACGCAGTGGAAAGCGTAGTGAGGCGATTGCTGAGTTTTGGGCAGCAAAATAAAGCTAGGAACTATCTTAGCAGAACGTGTGGGGACTCGGTGGGTTTCTTGTACGTTTGATTCTCCACAGGTTGGAACCCATCGCTGCTCTTTGGCGGTCTCTGCCCTTTGGAGCGTTTGTGAGCTGTACAATTCGGGTCCCGCCATGTCTGAGGAAAGCAAGTGCTGTGGTGAGCGCGCAGACAAGCCCGAAATCAACCAGGAGGACGGTGCTGGGGACACAAACAAGGATGCAGGTAGGGAAGGCGGTTGACGGGGAAAAAAGGCCAGCGGAGCCGCGAAAGGGAGCGCACCCTGCTCAGGGTAGGCCAGACGCCCAGCCCCGCCCCAGATGCCACGCGAAGCTCGTGCCCGCACGGCGTTCACCGCCCTGGAGCGCTGGGCGGGGCATAGCCGCGCGCGCCCGTCAACCCTGCCTATCACACATCTTGGCGCCTCCCGTGTGGCCGCATCTCGCCCCCTGGTGGAGGTTCGCGCCCTCGCACGCGAATGTTTGGTCCTTCCATTTCTCGCGCGGTCACGCCCCGGGGCAGGATTGGTTGCCGGCGCAGCTGCGCGCGCATGCGGGGGCGGGGGATGGCTGATGAGGTGGCGGGCTCCGCGGCTGGGGGGCACCTGGGAGCTGGGCTTCAGAGTGTGCTGTGGAGTCGTGGGGTACCGCTTTTCCTTCGACGGGGGCTCGTGTCTGAAGGGGTAGTGGGCTTTCTGCAGCCAGGGGAAGGCGGGGAGGACCCCCCCTCTGTTTTACCCTGCTAAAGTTGATTTCTTTGTTGGAGGAGACGATGTCTCCTTTTCAGAGTTTTTTGGTGCTTAAAAGCGGCGCGGACAGACCTCCGTTTGTTGGGCCTGTATTTCTTAGGCCCCCGGCCTAGAGGGTTAACTGGTTCTCATCACGCAGCTGGCGGGGTTCAGGATGCTTGATGGGCCCGCCGATGTTTTTCAAGTCATGATTTTGGCTGTATCTCCATTCAAATATGAAGCGATCTTAATGAAATTAAGGAATTCCTGACTGGATAGTTGTTAACTCTCCTGTTTCTTCTCCGTAATGCAGATGTTGATATTTTGAGAGAGGAAAACAAGGTCTCTGAAATATACACACACACACACACACAAAAAAAAAAATAAAAATAAAAACCCCAAAACAGTTTCTGTGTGGGAAACTGCAAAAGGAGCAAGATTGAATTACAACTCTATGTAGTTAGAAGTTGCTAGTTTATTTATGGGTGTTTTGTACACTATGAAAAAAGGCCGTGGTAAAAGATGAGAACTGTAATGATATGGTTAATCTGATTCTCATTTTATAATTTTTCTTTTTTAGAAGAGAGTAAAGATCTCATTTCCACAATGCAAAGTTCACCAGATAAAGCTAGGACTCCACAAGACTCTGTGGATCCACCATCTCCTGATTCGGATAGTTCACAAAAAGAAGTATGACAGTCTTGGTTCTTTCAATGAATTGGTTCTGGTGTTGTAGCAGTGATTGTTTTAAGTCTATTGAAGAGTGGTAATTAACATGATGGTTAACAGATTTTCATTCTGAATCCCTTTCACTTAGTTTAAGTTCAGGTTATTATGATCCAAATCAAGGAAGTTTGAATCTGTACAATATTACCTTTATGAAAGTCTTTGGTGCAGTAGGTCTTTTCCTCAGTAATTCCAAAACATCAGGAATAGTGTCAGGCCCATGCTTGGTTTTTAAAAATTTTTTTTTGTAGTATTGAAGTTTGAACACAGGGCTTTGCACATGCTGGGCACGCACTCTACCATTGAGCTGCAACTCCAGCTAATACTGGGATAAATGTCTCAACACTGTTTTAGAAAGGTGTTGATCTTGCTAAGGTAAAAGAAAATGAAACTAATGGAGTGTCTGAAAATTAGACATTTTGTCATGCTTGCTTTAGATGCATGGAGACAGAAAAACCAGCTAGTGGTACCTACCATAGAAATGTTAAGATTGTTATTTCTAGTTGGCTTATTTTCTTTGGAAGTGTTTCTCTTGATGAATGTTTTTATTTTTAATGTCTTGTTCCCTTTTCAGCCTACAAGTGCAACACTTAAAGACAAAGTAAAGAAGACAAGAATTTCATCTAATTCTTGCAGTGTGATAAAACGTCTTAAAGTAGAGAAGAAAGAAAATGATCAGAATTTTTCAGAGAAACCGGCATCTTCAACAGTAGAAAACAGCTTGGAATCTCAAAGTTCTAAACACAAAGGCAGTGAATCTGAAGAAAATGCACAATTGAAAAATACAGTCAAGAATGTCAGTGCATGTAAATCTGAGCCCGTTAATTCTGTGATTGAGAAACCTAAACAAGGATTAAATGAAGAAAAAGCACTATTGGTGAAGCAGGTTCGTGACAAAGAAGAGCTGCTTCGGAGGCTAAAACTAGTCAAAATGTATAGATCAAAGGTGAGATTTTAAGAACCATTGCATAATCATAAGTTTTTGCATAAATTGTGTAAAAGTAATTTCAAAAATAGGAAGCAAATTTATTTTAGCATAATAAATAACAGAAAAATGTCATCAGTTTAGGGTTGAGTAAGAGAGACCAATACCAATGAAACTTTTAAAGAAAATGTCCCAGTTTTCATTTGATAACGCAGTAGGAGATTTTCTCTAGTTTACAACCCACAGCAATATTAGATGTATCAAATGTTAGATGAAAGTATAATGGGAACAGAAGTGACTACTGACAGTGAATAAAATCAAAAGTGTTCACAGTATAATAAAAAATATTTTTAGTAATGATACTGTGTTTCTTCCAAGGAATTAAAATGTCTTAGGCAGTTTGAAAACAACAAAAAATATATATTAGATTTTAGGTTTTAACTCAGATAGGTTGAATTGTATAGAACCCTGGTTCTTAGAAGGAAGAAGCCTCTATTACTTGGATAATTTCTGAATATGTAATAATTCATGTTTCCTCAACAATGTGGAATAAATGATGGAATAACATATCATTTGCTCTTTTTGAAGTTTTAGGAGTTTCCTAAACATGACATTTATGAAATATCAAATTGAAAAAACTTTATATATTGTCGTTTTTTGAACTTTTGGGCTCGCAGCAAAATTAGGTGGAAGGTACAGCATCATAAGGACATAGTTTAAAAGTATAACTACTATAAAAAGTGGACTATTTTTAAGTGTGTTATCATTTCTCTACATAGTTTAATGATCCGGTTTTTCCCAGAGGGTAAGGTTGGCCCAGATCCTGAATAGCCGTAGAACTCAAGGGAGTGACACTGTAACCATTGTGCTTACAACCATTCTACCATTTGCTAGGTAAATGTCTTATTCATCCCCAGGATGATGATTGCTTTTAACTTAGATGTACATTACATTTAACAGCTTTGATTAAGTAAGTTAAAATAGCATGATCATCTGATTATTGACTTAACATTCATTGATTTGTTTTGTTTTCTGTTTCAGAATAACCTGTCTCAGTTAGAGATATTAATATCAAAGTGGAGAAACTGTAGCCAGCTGTTGCTTTATGAGCTGCAGTCACTCATGTCGGAAGAGAAGAAAATAACCCTTACTCAATTGATAGACCTCTATGGGTTGGATGATACACTGCTGCATTTTAATAGAAGTGAAGAAGAATTTGCAGGTGTTTAATTCATAATTTTTTTTTTGAGAAATATCTTTGAAAATGATACTTGCACATTTTAAAGGGGAGATTTGCACATTAGGGCTTAGAGGAAGGTATCTTGATGACTATCAGTTTAGGACAATCTATAATTTTTTTTTTTTTTTCGTTGTAGATGGTCACAATACCTTTACTTATTTTTATGTGGTGCTGAGGATCGAACCCAGTGCCTCACACGTGCAAGGCATGCGTTCTACCGCTGAGCCACAAACCCAGCCCTGTGAAATGTATAAATTTTTTTTATTATTTATTTTTTTAGTTGTAGTTGGATACAATAACTTTATTTCACTTATTTATTTTTATGTGGTGCTGAGAATCGAACCCAGGATCCCGCACGTGCGAGGCGAGCACTCTACTGCTGAGCCACAACCCCAGCCCAAATGTATAAATTTTAAGTTCGAAAATTCAATGTTTAGGGTAGATTTGGTAAAGAAAACTTGACATTCAAAAAAAATCATATTTAAAAAGGAATTTGGATAGTTTTGGCAACTAGTTTTAATAAATCATTTTGCTTTTAGTAGCAAAAAGTTTTATTTTCAATGTTTAAAAATAGTTCATTCTAGATGGGAACCCCAGAGGAGTTGTATTATTGTACTGCTAACCAGCCTGCCTCCGTCAATCATTACTGCTTTGTAGGTTGGAGCGGTGGGAGGAGGGTCTGAGTGGGGGCGGGGCGGGTGGCAGGCAGGCAGGGAGTGGTGGTGATGGTGGCTAAATGTGTTAGGGGAATCATGCTCCTGGTGCAGTGTTGGATTGTTTTTGTTTTTTAATTTGTTCTTTTTAGATATACATGACAGTAGAGTGTACTATTTTGACATTATACATACATGGAGTATAACATCTTAATTAGATGCCATTCTTGTGGTTTAACATGATGTGGAGTTAAATTGGTTGTGTGGTCATATGTGAACATAAGAAAATTATCTAATTCACTCTACATATTGGTAGTTAAAAAGTCCCTCTTCTAAGTTTATGAATCTTTGTTTCCATTCATTTTCCACATCTTTTCATCTGCTGCTCTAATAGGGTTATTAAACATATGTCCAAAATTATATTGTTTTTGTCTTTGAAATTTCTCATATTCCTCCTTTAGTGAAATGACTGTTTCTTAGGAAACTATATCAAGGTATCCTGGCATATGAGGTCCTTCATATTCATCTACCTTCTAGTTTCATCTGTGAAATGAACTGAGAGTGTCCATTCAGTTCACAGTGCCTTAGCCAGAAACCCATCTTCACAGGGATGGATTTGTGCTGCCAAGTTTCACAACTGTACCTTTTCATCCTGGCTGTATGTGGAGATATGACCCAAGCTTGCCCAGTCACAGAATTTAAAATTGAGCTCAGGGAAAGAAACCTCACCTATTTGTGGCTGGAGCTATTATATATAAACTTGGAAGCTGCAGAGCTGACATTCTTGAAGGGTGGTGTGTGCTTACCGAAGGATAGAGATAGAGAGATCTTTGTGAATTAGTTTCTTGGTTCTAATTGCCAGTTATTCTGACAGGTTTTTTGAATTTCTGCCTTTAGGGGCTAACAGCTTTATTTACTTGAAAAAAAGTATTTGGCTGCTAGTTGGTAAACAGTAGCCCTCCCCCAAATGTTCCTCACTTTGAACCTAGGTCCCTCTGTCTTGATCTACAGATCTTTTAATGTTTGGCACAGCAGGGGAACTAGGGCCCTACTCTTGCATCCATTTCAATACCATCCCCCATCACCACTACACACAAATTCCTGCTTGATACTGACATTGCCATTGGCATTTGTAAATCCTAGAGGACTGGCCCCAGCCTCACATGAGCCTCTCCTGGGATTTCTAGTTGGACACTCCTGGGGAGCTGTACTATTCTAGTGGCTACTAGCCAGCTTCTATCACTGCTTCTCATTCAGCCTAAATGTGGCAGAGGAATCATGTTGTTGCTGGTGGTAGTGTTGATTAGCTCTTGGAGGCTGTAGCTTACATTTTCTGGAGTCACCATTATGTGTCTGCTGGTGGGAATTATAGCATGAGCGGGACTCTGGTTCTGGGAGAGCTGAGGAAATGATAATGGAATTTAAGGCATTTGCACCTAGCCCTAGCTGAGGACCCCAACAGCACAATGGGCACTTGAGAAATAGGAGGTAGATTATGGTGGATGAATGGGGCTTATGGAATATAGTTTGAGGTCTGAGGATGCTCTTGGGTAGTCTTACTTTTTATCGTTTTGGTGAATTTTACCTCCATTTATTGAAAACCACTGAATACCACATTTTTATAAATTAAAAAAGAGGGCTAAACCCTTGCTTTGTGCCAAATTTAAAGAGTCACCAAAATGATGATGGTTCAGTCATTTACTTCACCATCACTATCCAGCACTAATCACTATGTGGGTGATCAATTGAACCTTAGTTGTTTTCTAAATGGATTTTTTTTCCTTGTTATTTCAGTGCTGGGGATTGAACCCAGGGACATTCTACCACTGAACTACATCCCCAGACCTTTTAATTTTTTTTTTATTTTGAGACGGGGTCTTGCTAAGTTGCCTCAGCCTCTCAAGTTGCTAGGATTAGAGGTGGTAACCAATACACCCAACCTAAATGGAAGGTTTTATATAATAGCTCTCTGGAAGTGGTAGTGTGGATTAAACTTAACCTTTAGTTTATAAATTGCAGAACAATGAAGCAGTGATATCACTTGGAGAATGTGGTCAGTGATCCCAGTGGTATCACCTTGTAATGCAGCAGTTTACTGGCTGTGGAAGGGTGAAAAAGTTTTCTGCCAGTTAGTGTTTTCATATCATCTACATGAGTAAAATGATAAAAATTATTTAATGGAAATGAGAACATTTTTTCCTTGTTTACTAAATGCTTATTGGATAGAGCACAAATTAGAGCTCTGTTTGAAAATTATATTCTCAAAATATGTCATAATTTACAAATGAGTTAAAGCTTGGAAAAAGTCAACAGTTTTATCTTTATTAATAGAATGGGGAAAAATTCCACATTTTTAGTAATTTTAAGTAAAATTAAAATAAATCTCGAATACTTTATGGTTTAAAAAATCTTGTTTTTGAATAAAAACAATTTCCAGTATTTTAAACATTTATTCATGCAAGACAAAAATTTATATGCTAATTAAGGCTAAAATCAAACAATTTGCTATTGAAAACCTGCAACTAAGAAGTGACTAATTTAAGTTTCCCAATATGAAAGAAAAAGAAATCATTTTACCCAAATGAATTGATTTTTGCAATAATTAGTTTGGCTTTGTTTTTCTTGCTAGCCTTTTACATTTGAACAAGAGCAGGAAATGTTTTCATCCTTAATCTTTCAACTTCTGCTTGTAGTATTGAAATCTGTTCAGCCTGTTGTTTTGAAATATTTGTCAGCTTCTGTTGTTGCACCATGTTTTTATATCGTTCTTTGACAATCTTTTCACAAGTCAGTTGCGTCCCTATCCCAAAAGTGAAGAAGGAAGGAATAAGTTGGATTATTATTAATGCTTCAGGGTATAGGAACAGCACTCAAGTCAGTTGTATGGAAGACACACTGGTAGCTTTATAACTAAAGTTTTCAGGAGTATAGACTTTAAAGAAAATCTATTGTTGATTAAAGGGAAAAAGCTTACCCATTGCATTGCAGATGTCTTTTCTCTCGGACACAGCTACCAACTCTTCTCGTAGATTGCAGCTTAGAGTGTAATTTGCTACATCTTTTTGATTACTGAATTTTTCCAACTTTTTGAGTAGTTTTTTGCAGTTTTCGACATTCTTTTTGTGGGTCTGAAAGTTTTATTCCCATGAAGACCCACAAAATAATTTTGAAAAAAAAAATGTAATTTATATATAAAAAAAGTTATCATCACTAAGATAACATCTTACACCAATATCCCCAGTGCCCGGTGTACTGTCTGTCCCTAGTAGTCACTCAAATTATTTGTTTAAAGATAGAATGATATAGTAGTCACTCAAATTATTTGTTTAAAGATAGAATGGTATGTTAATACTACAATTTACAAAACTTTTTTGTATGTTCTTAAAAATGAGATAATATTTGAGATTACTTTGTTTTCATATTACACGTACTACATAATCAAAATTAAGCATTTGTTTTTCAGTTAAGACAAAGCTTTTACAATGCCAAGGAAAATTACCAACACTTATTGTACAATTATAACATAACCTAACTGCTCAGATATGTCCCCAGAGGTTAATTTTAATCTTTAAAAATGTGCTTCGGGGCTGGGGTTGTGGCTCAGTGGTGGCGTGCTTGAGGCCCTGGTTTCAATCCTCAGCACCACATAAAGATAAATAAATTAAATAAAGGTATTTATTTAATTGTCCATCTACATATAAAAATATATGCTTTAGTCTATGCCACTGGTTATGGTTGCAAAGACACTATTATTCAGAGACCTGTAATTACTTTGAAAACTGGGAAATAAGCAAGGTTTTGTTAGGTTCTGTCGGAAACACTGATTGCTTTGCTCAAAGAATCCACAACTCTTGGGATTACAGTGATCAATATCATTGAGACTTACCTTATCTATAACTTGAATGGTTTGCTCCATTATTCCAATCTGAATAGCAATCAGAGTCTCGTAGTTCGATTCATTTAGGTACTTCAAGAGGAAAAAAAACCCACAAATAAGGATATTTTTTCTCTTTCTTTGAATGGATAAATACATAAAGATTTTTTGTTTTCCTTACAATACTAGAGAGTGAACCTAGAGGCCCTCTACCAATGAGCCACACTCCCAGGTCCTTTTATTTTATTTTGGGACAGTGTCTTTGCTATGTTGCTGAGGCTAGATCTTCTTGCCTCCTATATAGGAGTGTACCACTATTTCAGACCTTATAAAGATTTTTTTTTTTTTTTTTTTTTTTAGTTCTGAAAATTATTGTTTTGCATAGCAAATATTGAGTTGATTGAGTCTATTTTCTTTCAGCTCATCAAACAAGTTACCCACATTAACAGTGTTCCGGTTAAAGATACTGAGGGAAATAAAAAAAAGATATGTAGCATGACTTACTCTTCAAAAAAAAAGAGAAGATAGAGATTTATGCAAATTCACAGCATTTTTCCACACTTGGGAAATCAAGAGAGGCTTTACAAGGAAGTGATGTTTAAACAAAACATGGAAAAAAGTGGTAGGTTTGGGATGATAAAATTTAAAAAAAGAATGTTTTTCCAGATAGAAGAATTGGTATGAGCAAAGACACAGAGGTAGAAGCCTAAAAAAAATTGGTACTCCATTTGGTTTGAGAGTACTAATAGCAGGAAATGAGATTAATACCCAGAACTATGGGGAAAAAATCTGATAGTGGTATACCAATGAAAACCAATGAAAGTAGAGGAGCTGTCAGTGGGGAATAAAACAGAATTTGAGGGAAGTCACGGATGGAGGGTTAGATTGGAATCCAGAGAGCTTAGATTCAACTTTAGATGTGATCACTGTTAGAAATATAGAGGTGGATCCTCAAAGGAGAGGACATGGGGGAAAATAGTGCTAAGGCTGATTTTTTTTTTTTTTTTTTCCTTCTCCTTTCTCTTTCTTTGTGGCATTGGGGATTGAAGCCAGGAACCCAGGGATGCTATGCCACTGAGTTACATCTCCAAGTCCTTTTTATTTTTGAGATAGGATCTTGCTGAGTTTGTCATGCTGGCCTCCAACTTGGGGTTGGGGTCCTCTTGCCCCAGCTCTTCAAATTCAGGCATGTTTTACTATGCCCAGACTAAGGCACACTCTTAAAGAATGACATTAGAGGAAAGAGAGGAGAAAATGGGGGTCATACAAGACAAAGGAATGAGTAATTAAGGTGGTCAAATGCTACAAAGAATTGAAGGCTGATAGAGACTGGGAAAAGAAGCCCTGGATTTAACAAATAGGAAATCTTTAGTGAACTATAAGAGAACTGTGCTACTGAATGGGTCATGAAGATGTGTAGGCAACAGACATAACTACTGGAAGAAAAATAACTCATTCACATATTCACCTAGGAAAGACTTCTGGCTCAGAATATACTTGACATCATGGAGGCTTCTTATTAAATGCCAGTTAAATGAACAAATGTATTAATGGATAAAATTAAAACTGTGTAGAGGGCAGGGAGAACTTGCCTTTTGACGCTGTCTTGAAAAAAACAGCATCTGAATATCCCAGGCCTTCTGATTTAGGTCTTCCATTTTCATCTCCATTTTCTTATGTTCCCACTCAATTTGATATATTCCTTTGTGTACCTCTTTACTTTCCATCATGCTAGCAACTTTCTTTTGACCTTGAGTCTTAAAAAAAAAGTATTTGATATTCATATAACATGGTTCTGCATGCGAAATTATAGAAGATTTGAAGTTGAATGTTATTCTCAGAAAATACTTGAATCACAGAGATAATTCTCTTAATGTGGTGCTGAAGATTGAACCTAGGTGGCACGCTCATTTTGATCCTCAACACCACATAAAAATAAAGATAAAAAATTTATTTGTCGTGGAAATGAGGGAATAATGTAAAGTATAACTACCCGAATTACAGAATTCAAGTCTTCAATTATGGTCTTATTCATGAGAATTGCATCAGAATACTCCAGGATTAGTTGGAAATTCTCTAGTTCTACTTGTCCTTGTTTAAGAAGAATTTGGATGGTCAAATTCAACTGGAATTTCACTTTCTCGTCCTGTAATCTAAATGGAAATAGGCTTTAAATAAGTAGGTATAGTACATTTACATATCAAATTTAATATAAAATTCAGATCAGCTAAAAGAGAACATCCTGGAGATTAGTGTGAAGAATATTTTCCCAAATGATTAGCTTTCCTGGACACCCCAGTGATACTCCATCCTACTGATTTGCAATATAATTGAATTGTTCAGAGAATACTATGGACAGAAATACATCCACAGATTTTTACTTTAGGATTAAGAAAAGATGGTAGGATTTTGATTGTAATAAAAATAAAGGTAAAGCCAGGCATAGTGGTGCATATCTGTAATCCCAGTGATGGGGGAGCCTAAAGCAGGAAGATTGCAAGTTCAAGGCCAACCTCAGCAACTTAGCAAGATCCTGTCTCAGAATAAAAAATAAAAAGGACTAGGGATGGAACTTAGTGATAAAGAGCCTTGGGGTTCATTCCTAGTGCAATAAATAAATAATAAAAATGAAAATATAGAGATGCTGCCAAGTGTTTAGAGTCCATTAAAGTTGACTTTGTTGATTTCTGATACTGTACTAACAATATTTAATCCATGTGTTACTTATCAAATCTAATTGTGCAAAATTCATATTTCTCCCGGTAGTCTAGAAGTCTAGATCTAAAAATGGTGAATGATGATGAATTTGGGAATATCAGAGATGAAATTTATCCATGAAGTCATCAATATGGCCTTTTTTTTTTTCTTAAGTTACAGATGGACATAATGTCTTTGTTTTACTTTACGTGGTGCTGAGGATCCAACCCCGTAACCCAGTGTCTCACGCATGCTAGGCGAGCGCTCTACCTCTGAGCCACAAGCCCAGCCCTCAGTGTGACCTTTTGAAGCAGGGACTTAAGAGTATGCAAATCACTCAGTAAAAAACAACACTGTCCCTGAAAAACATGGAGCTGGGAGGTGTCTGTGTGGTCACTGCTTGGACATGTGCTTAATGTTCCACATAGTTTATATGTCTTAATCCCCCACACACTCAACTGGTAGAGACAGGTTGTATTTTATGTGGAAAGGGCAGATTTAAGAAAAACCAAGATTTTTCTAAAATTTGCTTCTTTATATTAAAAGCAATGGAACAATGTGGCATGTTTTATACTAAAACAAGTCTTATGTGACAAAATGTGCTCTTTTCACTTAGGCAATAGAGCAGAGACCCTGCGCCTATTGGAAGGAAAAGTAGGCACAGATCTCTACCATATCGGCTTAGGAACTGAATACCTTGGCAAGACTCACAGAGTAAAAGAAATAAGATCAAAAATCAATAAATGGGATGGACTCAAACTTTAAAAAGCTTCTTCACAGCAAAGGAAACAATGTGAAGAGAGAGCCTACAGAATGGGAAAAATTTATCACATTCAACTCAGAGCATTAATCTCCAGGATACATAAAGAACTCAAAAAATTTAACACCAAAAAAACCCAAATAACCCTATCAATAAATGGGCTAAGGAACTGAACAGACACTTCACAGAAGAAGAAATACAGTCAATCAACAAATATATGGAAAAAATATTCTAACATCCTAGCAATTAGAGAAAAGCAAAACTACACTGAGATTACATCTCTTCCAGTAAGAATGGCAATCATCAAGAATATAAGCAACAATAAATGTTGTCTAGGTACACTCAAATATTGCTGGTGGGACTGCAAATGGGTGCAACTACTATAGAAAGCAGTATGGCCATATCTCAGAAAACTTGGAATGGAACCACCGTTTGACCCAGTTACCCCACTCCTAGGTTTATACCCAAAAGACTTAAAATCAGCAGCCTACTACAGCGACACAGCCACATCAGTGTTTGTAGCAGCTAAACTATGGAATCAACCTTTCAACAGATAAAGAAATTGGTATATATACACAATGGAATATTCCTTAGTCTTAAAGAAGAATGAAATTATGGCATTTGCCAATAAATGGATGCAACTGGAGAATATTCTGCCAAGTAAAATAAGCCGATCCCAAAGAACCAAAGGCTGATACTAATTCACAACAAGGGGGTGGTGGGGGAGAATAGTGGTATTCAGGAGTGAAGGGAGGGGAGGGGGCGTGGGGTTGGAATGATAGTAGAAAGAATCTGACATTATTACCCTATGTGCATAAATGATTTACGTGACTTGTGTAACTATCATGTATAACCAGACAAATGAGAAGTTATACTCATATATGTATGATGTGCTAAAATGCATTCTCATGTATTCTCATGTATAAGTAATTAGAGTAAATTTACAAAATGTGCTCTTTAGTATAGAAATTTTCAACCCAATGCTAGGATTGAAAGGGATTCAGAGGGATGGATTTGCACAGATGTGAACAGCCAGTAGGCATTTTCCCCATGGGCACTGCCACCTGAGACAGCTCAAGACTGGATAGGTAAACCTGAATGAGAGGTTTGCATTACAGGAGGAGTTCATGGAACACTTTTTCAATCTCGCGCTGCACATGTTCATCATCCTCAACTCTCTTCTGGAGGAAAGCCATCATTTCAACTAAGCCAGCTGCCTTCTGCTTCACCTGAAGAAACCCAACAGCAGAAACTTTGAATTCAGAAAACATACATCTTTAATTTTGTTTTAAAAAACCACCAAATCTTAAGCCCATCTTTCTAAGATTAAAAAAAATTAAAATTCCTGCCATTATGTAATAAAAGGTGTGTAAAACTTGGCGGGGCACATTCCATGAAAATTTTAAAGTGTATATAATTGGCTTCTTGCTGAAAATCAAGTATGCAAGCAACTAGAATTTTCTTATATCTTTTTGACATTTGTTCCCTTAGGTAAAATTGTCAGATCATAGATACTTCAACAAAAATAAGCCAGCCTGATTATGTGGCACTAAGGTAGGAATCTGGGGAGGGGAGGAGGAAGCCCCTTGAGCATCAGCAAGAGAAAGGATTCTTTCCCCGGATTCATACTCTCAAAATTTCTGCCCTTTGCTACATCTTTTCTATTCTAGAAAAACTAATTTCCGCCCTCTGCTACATCTTTTCTAGAAAAACTATAAAGTTGGTCTAGTGAGCTTAATATAACTAGTCTGCAAAACAGGGTCATCTGTAACAGTGTTGTCCAACAGAAATGAAATGTGAGCCATAGCCATTTAATTAAAAGTAAAATGAAACAGATGAACTTAAATCTGTATGAAAAACATTAATGAGATATTTCTCCTCCCCCCCCCCCTCCATAAACTAAATCTTATAAATGTGTGTATTTTCCACCTTCAGCACATCTCAATTAGGACTGGCCACATTTATTTCAAGTGCACAATAACCGCACATCACTAGTGGCCCAGTTTTGGATAGTGTAGATCTATAAACAGACCTGCTTGAGGCCCTTGATAGCATCAAAGTTAATATTTTACTTCGTAATTTTATTGTTAATATCTAAATCGTTAGCTTTTCTGTATGCATTGGTCAATGATACTATATAGTTGATATTAGTATATTGAGAATAAAATGAAATAAAAAATGATATTACATACTTTGTGTTCATTTTCAACTTTTGCTCGTCTGGTTGCACAGAAATGATCCCAAACTGAAGGGTCTAAGCCTTCTGGCATGTTGTTAATATTATCCAACTCATCCATGGCTTTCATTAAGTGGGCAAAAGTGTCCTTATTCAACTTGCCAGATCCCGGTCGTTCTCCAAATGGGGTACTACTGGCTGCCTCTGAGTGCGCTTTCTGTTTGTGAATCCTGGTATTAGCAAGAAAAGCCTATCAACCTTTCACATTCTCTCGAGACACAACAACAAAATCATTATAAAATAATAAGATTGTCAGCCTAGGCTCATAGGACATACTGCATGGCAATTTTCTTAGGCACTGGAGAACTGGTGGGCACATTAGTCCAAAGAGAGAAGCACCCACTTTGTCCTTCCATACTCTGGGTCCCCAGATGTGACCCTAGACTGGACTACAGATGACTAACTGTTGTCAGTTCTGGCAGCATTACTTTTGCGGGGAAACTTTCAGGCAAAGCAATGCCCATGGGAGTGTGGGTGGTCCTTGGGTCTGTATGGCAGGTCCTCTGCTGGTATCCTTTTTTGCAGTAGACAATGCTTAGATCTGTGTGAACTGGGGAAGTGTCTCTTCTTATCCACGTAAACAGATTAGCTTTGTTTCCCTGTACTGCAGCAGGCACCCTTGTAATCCACAGTGAGACTGGTGTTGCTGTCCCAACTCTTAGATAGGAAAGTTCAGTCCTGGGAGAAGCTGATGACCAACAGCTAGCTTCAGGTCTGATAGATGGGTGACTTAGGGACTTAAGGAAAGGGTATGTACTTGGGCTTGTGATAACATACCTTTTTAAAAATAGGGAAACCAGGACATGAGTGAAACAGGTAAAATCTCTAGGTTGCAAGTGAGAGAATAATCTTGTATCTCAAACACAAATTAGTCTACTCTTGTGACAAACTTCATGAGTTTTAGACTACAAATCAGCAAAATATAATTCTAAGGCTACTCTCAGTTAAAGCGTGGGGGGCTATTTATAGTCCTGGGGATTGAACCCAGGATCTTGTGTATTCTAGGCAAGTACTCTACCACAGAGCCATATCCCAGCCTAGAACTCTTTTGATAATCACTATTTTCAACCATTTATACGGCATTTTTTTCCCAAACTTTGTTCAGAGCATAATCACATAATCTGAAGAAAAGAAATTTCTGATCATGTAGGTTTGAAAAACACTGCTTATTCTTATACTTGGAGATCCAAAGGCCAATAATAATCTCTGAGAGGTTCTGCAGTATGGAATACTGTTTTAACTTTTTTTTTTTTTTTTAAATCTTGTATTTTTCCCAATTTACGTAGTCCTGGAAACCTGTTAGGTGCAAATCCAACTCATACCATCAGGGGCTGGTATTTGTTGGAACACATCTTGGGGGAAAAAACAGTTTATGAACTTTTATGCTATGACTCAAAAGGAAAGACTTTCATGAGTGAAAGACACTTAATGCACTTGTGACACTTATGTAAGTACCTTGCTTACGTAGAAATTTTTATTTTTAAATAATGAAAAGGAATATACTATACTTGATTTCCTTCCCTTAAGATGTAGGCATAATCTCAAAAAATGCTGAATTATGATCAAGATGAACATCTTTCCCTAAAAGTTACACTGACAATTTCTGAGAGAAAAAGGCAAAATCTTATAATCCTCTTCATTTAAAGGCCTTTCTTTCTTTTTTAGAAACATAATAGCAAAGGAGAAACAAACCTTGGTCGGCGTTTAAAAAGTTTGTAGAGTAGATCCACCTGATGACTGGGAATTTCAGAAAATTCCTTTTTAAAGCTTCGATCCAGAACCTAAGGATAAACACATCATTGCAAGAACGTAACTTTATTTAGAAAACTTTTTTTGTTGACAATATTCTTTAAAATACAGGTTGTAGCACTTTGATGTTAAAAATCCACAAAAACTTTTTTTTTATAAAATTGAAGATGATTCACAGTGCAAGTATTTCCCAAAGATCTTTTTTTGAATAGGAAGCACCTCAGTGTATTAAAAGTGTTATTTCATATGAGAGGTCTTAGAAATCATTCATAAGTTTTCCAAAATAATATTTATTGACAAAACATGCAAGTTTCTCTATTTTTTTCTATTCCATCTCCTTCCATTCCATTCTGCTTTTTTGTGCTATCCTATCCCATTCTTTTGCATTAGAAAGCTGCTGGTCAGACCTACTAAACTGATTTCATAACCAACTAATGGAGACTGCACTCTTAAGTTTGAAAAGCCCTGGAAGTTCAATGATCTCCCTGTTTTTTGCATAAAAGAAATCTTAGATGAGAGAAGTTTACAAAAATTCTTTTTACAGATTTTCAGAAGTGTTCAATGGCACAAAATGAAGTTCATTCATAAATGGTAATTATAGTTGGAGAGAAATCTATAAGAGTTATATGTCATTCAGCTTTCCTCTAATCCCAAGAGCAACAACTCAACTGCATTATCAGTTGGTGAGACAATGATTCTCACCTTGTCTTCTGCCATTAAGTTGTCATAGTGCTCCTTAAATGCATCCAATTCTTCTCTAGATTTCCGGATGGCTTCTGAAGTCTGGTTCTAGAATAACAGCAGGAGTAGTTAATTGGAACTGGAGACTTCAGTATAAAAATACAGGAGATTCAAAGATGAATCCAGAATTTTCTAGTACACAAAGTAAAGGTGCCATGTAGTATCTGTTACAGAAAACTTTTATAGAAGGAAGTAAACCATTTGGAGACTTGAACAAACCTCCAGTCACCTGTTCCTAAGGACAGTCAGCACTGTGTAAGTGCATAAGCATCAGTGACAGAGTGTGTGGCTGAGGAAAGTGCGCAGGCTTGAGAGTTCCGTGGACCTGGGTTCTGAGACTGAATGTAAATATGGACAATGGCCAGCCATATGTAGAAACAGAACTCTGATCCACTGCAGCAAACACCTGGCAAACTAAACCAAAACCTTTGCAGTGATTGCCCCAAACTGTCAGGACTTGGTCAGTAATTGCCAGCTGTTTAACTTTGGTACCTACTTCCAACTCAGGATCGTCTAGAGAGGGCCAAATATGTTCCCCCAAACCAGGTGGCTTCTAATTGGTTTGCCTGTGCCAACAACATCCAGCCAGGTGTGCTTGTGTCTTCCCTGCTTCCATCCTATGTCTTTCCTGCTCCCCTGCCTGCCTTCCAGACTTGGCAAAGCAATGCCCATGGGAGTGTGGGTGGTCCTTGTGATGGCAACCATTCTGCTATGCCAAGCTCAGAATAAATAGCCTCTGCTTATTCTCATTTGGGTGGCCTTCATCTATTTCCACAGTTCAGTTCCTGCTCTATAACTTACCACTGGATGTCTGAGGCATGTTACCAGCCTCACAGAGACAGTCTTTCTCATTTGTGAAAGAAACCTAGTATCATGCAGGGTTGTTCTGAGGAGGGATATATATAGAAATTTGCTGTTTAATAGACTCTTAGAAAAAAGTACATATTTCATTTATGATACAATAAGTCACACATTCGCAAATTTGCGTTAATACTAACATCTGTCAAAACTTACTGTGTAATAAACATTTTGTATCCTATTTATGGTTGTGTTTAGATGGTTTTCAGAATATGAGCTAACCCAATACTCTTCCATGCTTAGTGAATTTTAAGAGTGCCAAGGCCAGCCTGGGCAACTTAGTAAGGCTGTGACTCAAAATTTTTAAAAAAATTTAATGGTTGGGGATATAATATGGTGGTAGAGCCCTTGCCTAGTATGAAGCCCTGGGTTCAATTCCTAGTACAGCAAATAAATAAATAAACAAAATTGAAAACAAAAAAGAGCATCCAGTGGTCCAGGGAGAACAATGCTTCCTGAAGAATGGCTTGCAAGCAGCTTAAAATGTTCTAGGTGCCATAGTCAATGGCTTAAAGTTGTGCTTTCAACCATGAACCTCATTTTACAAACCACTTCATATGAAGCCTATATGGTTCTTTTGACTAAATGATTCCAGAGGCTAGATCACATAACTATTAACAAATTTGAATGGGTACTTTTCACCTGGCCCTGGAGCAAAGTCTTAGACAGGGGTCAAGGACTGCTCCAGGTTAAGGAGGTCTGGGAGCTCTTGCTAAACAAGGAGCAGGGCTGTCAGGAAAGCCTGGCACTCGGGGATCAGGCTCTGTACTTACTTTCTCCTGCTGCTTCCTTACAAGGTAGTTGTTCAGGAATATTTCTCTGGAGGTTAATTCCTCTTCCAGCAGTAGAGAAAACACAAGGTTATTTATTTTCAATTCCTCCTGTAAAAATATTTTAAAAGGTGTGTTTGTGTGAGGGGGGGTTATGATTGATACTCCTGAGAAAAGACTACTGATGGTCATAGACTTTACTCAAACAAGTTCATGACATATACATAAGAAAACTCTTAAAGAATAGAGACTTAACAGTAACTGGTTATTTTTCTTTCATCATTTCATTATAAGGTAAAACATACAGAAAAATACACAATGTGAACTCATAGTTTAATGAATTATTATAAGGGCCAACATGTATGTCATAAGCACTCAATTCAAGAAATAGAATTTTGCCACCCTAGAAGCTCCTTACAGGTGTTCCCATCAAAATCTCAACTCCACTACTAACCAGTGCTTTGACTTTCATAGTAACAACCTCTCTGAAGCTTAAGTGTGTTTATCTAGACACTACAGTATAACTTGTCCATTAAAATTTTTTTTTGTCATGTCTTCTAAATCTCTTATAATCTTCATGTCCCCTCTTTCCCTTTCTTTCCTCACAATTCATCTGTAGTAACTGGGAGCTTGTCATTCCACCTCACCTGCGTTTTACCCAGTGCATACTCCTGGTTCTTCAGCCTTTGTATTTCCTGAAAATTGCCAGCTAGATCCAGAGGCCTGATGAGAACCAGCTTTGGTCCTTTTGGAAGACCATAGGTGATACTATGGTCTGTGATTAGGAGACACAGTATCTGGTCATCATTCTATAATGATCACAGCTGT